CACATCCAGTGCTGGGGCGATAAGGATGAGTGACGCAGAGAGGGCTCGACTGCGTAGAGCTAACATGAGTTCTTCCCAGCGTGAGCGCACTCGGCTGAAGAATGCAGAGAGACAGCGGTTACGCAGGACCCAGAGAAAAGCTGAAGAAGTGGAAGGTGATCGTGAAAGAAATCGCCTATCGCATCAGGCCCAGCGATCGCTGCGCACCCAGGTTACCCGAGAGCATGAGTGTGAACAGCAGGTCTCTAGACTATCTCTGCAAACCGAGGCGGATTGTGCGGCTTTACGAGAAAGAGACACTGAAGCCCGAGCCCTTCGGCGCTCCCAGCAGACAAAGGACGAGCGCACGGAGGAGCGTGAAGCGAATGCTGTGGTTCAGGCTACGCGACGCTCCCAGCAGACTGACGACGAGCGTCACGTAGAGCGTGACGCCGACCGAGAACGTCATACCAACGCTAGGGAACAGCAGTCCGATGAGAGCCGCGACGCACAGCGAGAACGCGATCGAGAGCGACGCGAGATTAGAAGGGCGCTGCAAACGGAGGGAGAACGCGAAGAAGAACGCGAGCGCGTTCGTGAACCCCGTCGAACCACCCGCCACCGCGACGTACTTGCGAACCACGAAGATTTCCGCCCGTCAATGGTCACAGGTCCGAATGTTGATGAAGAGAACAGACGCCACCGTCCTTCTCCCACTACGGTGTGTGCCCACTGCAACGCGTGGAAGTGGCCTGGTGAAAGCAAGGTGGGTTGTTGTCTCGAGGGAAAAGTCAGACTATCATCTCTGGCTCCTGCGCCAGCAAAACTTCCTCAGCTTTATGGAGACCCTGAGTTTCGAAAGCACGTACGGACATACAACCAGGACTTTGCATTTACGTCTATCGGTGCATCAAGCCCGTCGACAGGAGGATAACAGCAAGTTAACAAGGACAACAGCGTGGTGGGAGACCGCGGCGTGTACACCTACCGGATTCAAGGCGCTATGGGCCACTACTTGGGTTCGTTGCTCCCATGCATTGATCGTCGAACTGGCCAGAGGACGCAGCCCAAGTTTGCGCAGATCTATATCGTTGATCCAGATATGCAG